AGATTTCTGCTTGATTCAAAACATAAAATATTTCTGGCAGTTTTATTCAGTCAGATCCAATGTAAGCCACGTTGGTGCAGGACTGCCTGCTTTGCGTACAGTCTCCTGCCTCCATGTTAAGGCAAGTGTGGGAAAAGCCGGACCCCTTCATGTCAGGCTGCTCCAAACTTTCTCAGCAACCTTGGTTCCCAAGGAGCTGCCATATGGATATAATAGGCTTGCCTTTGAGGGCCTTTGGTCACAAACTGGAGATGCCTCTGGGCCTCCTTGGCAGGCACCGGGGAGAAGGGGGCAGGGCGGGTCCCTTCACCAGACCCTGGGGCAAGCTTTCAGCAGCAAAGCTCAGACTCCCAGGCACATCAGGATCACATCAATGCTAAGGTCTGAAGCAGCCTTCAGGGTGTCCTTGGGACTTGGGAAACCAAGACGCTGACTGCATACACGCATTCAGGATGGGCTACACCAGTGTGAGAGGCCAAAGGCAGAATCAAAATGCAGGCCCCTTGTTCAAAAATTATGGTGGATTTCAAGATGGCGACAGCAGAACATTAAATCAAGCAGGTCCCATGCTACTGCCCGGGCCACCAGGGATGCCTGTGTGTATTCTAGAGCGGGGGGAGTGCAGGCTCCCTGTGGGGAAGAGGCCGGCAGGGGCCTTTCCTCAGGTTGCTTAGTGCCATCAGAGCCAACGCCTGGAGTCTGCTGCAGACTGCACCCACAGCAGTGGGCTTGCCCTGGATTCCTCGCCATGCCCTGCAAAGGAACGGAAGTCCAGGGCAGAGGGAGCTGGTCAGAGGAGCGGTACATGGAATCACAGCCTTGTACACGGGGGAAAAGAGTTTCTGAGTTCCGATGACCTCCCACACCTGCTTGTGTTGGCCCCATTCTTATGGGAATTCAGTTGGGCTTGGAAAGAGAAAGTTGCAAGGAAGCGTTGACCCAGGGATGCCTGCCCTCTCCCAATTTTGATAGAATTCTGAAAGAGGTGCAAGTCACAGTGTTTCTGTTAGAGGTAGGAGAGTCTGCATTGTGTGAATGGAGATATTGATTCTTGGATTCCCCATGAGTCGTGGAGATCTGCCCTGGAATAAAGAAACAGAAGGGAAGTAGCACAAAGCAGTTTATGAAAGTGAAAGTACCCTCTTCTGGTGGGGAACAGGCAGGCGGAGAGGGGGTCACTGCCCTGAGGCTTTGATGAGCTGGGTCTCAGGTCAAGGACAGGGTGGTCTTTGATGGAGGCTGCTTCCAATCTTTTGGAAACTCTTCCCACAGATTGGGAAGGGGAATTTTTACCCCTCTAAGGTTTGTACCTGAACCAGCATGGCAGCCTTCCCCCACGGGGGCTAAAACTGTAATGTAAATGCGCTATCATGAGTCTAGGGGTTACCTCGGGGCAGAAGTGGAAAAGGAGAAAGCATGTGCTGCCCCTGAGGCTCTTGGTCTTTTAGTCCCAGGGTGCCAGAGCCAGGAGGTCAGGATGTTGAGGGGTCTTGGAGGCCACAAAGTCAGGATCCTGCGCTCCCAAACTTCTAATGTGTGATTCACTTATCACTGCCCTTGCCTCCGGCTCCTGTCTAATTAACTGCCTGTTCTACCATTTCGTGACCTCGCTGACAGAACGTTAATCACAGGGGAGAAGTGTGTCTTTCTCCTCTTTGTCCAGTGCATCGGTACCTGGCTGGCCAGAGGACCCCACACAAGTGGCAAAGGAGGGCACAGATGGTGGCACTTGCCCAGGAGAGAACAGGCTTTGTCTTTGATTCTTCCTGCTAATGTGACCATGACCTTCACTGTGGAGACGGTCATCAGGACAGAGGTCAGTGCAGCAGAGAGAATTTGGGCTTTGTGCCGCAACCGGGGTTCAAATCTTGGCTTTAGCAGTTCCTGGCTAGTGGCTCTGAGCAAAGTGTGAGGCCTCCATCTCCTCTGCATTTGCAAAAGACAGGATAAAAAATGCCTTTAATTCTGTGGATATTGCTTGAGCCATTGAGTACAAGTCTCCAGCCCCGCCTGGTCCTCCAGGAGTCCCCCAACCTTCATCCCTTGCTCTTCTCATGGTGTCTCATGCCACCCCGTCTCTCCGTCTCTCTGCATCTGCCTGTGGCTTTCTGCTAGGCATCCCTGAACCTCTCTCTCTCCTCTCACTCCTGCCTGGAGGGTGGGTCACAGGAGGAACAGGGGACAGCCTGTCAGCTCTGTGAACTGGTCATTTCACCAGGTTCAGATTCTTCATATGTGTGGTAATGATAACATCACCACCCTGATACGGTTAGGACGTGTTACAAACGCAGTATTAAGGGTGCTGGTCGTTAGGCAGAGGGCTAACTGTCCGCATAACGGAGTGTCCAGAGGATGGCGCTGTTGCATTTCGTCCTCTGGCTGGGGGGTGAAAAGAGCTTCGGGGGATCTGGTAGGAAGATTAACCTAGAGAGATGGAAGCCAGGGAGCATTTCTTGGGGACGCTCCTTGCAAGTTCTTTTCCTAGCACATCCGTCCAAGTCAGTTTGTCCTGAGCCGCAGCCCGTGACAGCCCTCCGAGAGTGACCGAGGTCAGAGGCTCTCAGGCCTTGCCTTCTGAGGACTTCGTGGCATAGGCGGCTTCAGACAAGAGGTCCCCACGCCAAGCCCGTAACAGCCACGAGACAGAAGCACGTAGTGCTCCCCAGGGCAGGAAGGTCAGAGCTGGAGCATCAGCAGAGGGGACAAAGGGGTGCCACTGGAGTCAGGGCTTCGGGGATGGTGACTTGTGCTATGCAGCTGGGAGTGAGGTGGCCGGACAGCCGTCAGGGCATCACCTGAGGCCGAAGGAGTGGCCCTGAGGGCATGTGGCTGGAGCTTGGCATCTGAGCGCGCACATACTGGGACCCGGTGCTGGAATAGTGCAGGGCCCAGGTGGCTGGACAGGGGTGACTCATGGCCCAGACCTCCCTCCCCTGACATGGGGGAGTTCAGGGACGGCATGGGGCTAACTGCTGCCCACTTACAAATGCCTGCTCTCTCACATACCCGCACACATGCCCTTATAAGGACATGTCCACTCTCCCTGCGTACAGAGACACTGCCCACATGTGTCTGCCCGCTGCCATGGCAACTCTGTCTCCATGCCCCTCTCCTCCTCCCCCTGCCATCCAAGGAAATAAGGACCTGTGGGGAGGGGTGGGCAGTGTACGGCATTGAGGGGGGTCATCAGACCCGGGTCTCACATTCAGGAAAGTCCACAGGTTCAACATTTGACTTTATTTCCAAGTGAAACTTTGATGCAGGCACAGAATACACCACCAGGACTAAAAGATGTTCCTCATTCATCTTTATGATTGAGCAACATTGTCGTACCAGGAATTAGTACTTTCTAGAGCTCCAGTAATTAATTGTACTTAAATTAATTAATTTGTATTAGTTATGTTAAAGCTCTTCATTGGTTCCATGTAAACATTTAGCACAAACCATTTTTTAAAAAAATAATACACTGAGAGCTTCAACCAGTGGGAATGGCCCCGGGTCTCTCTAGGCCTCTTATAGGCTCTGCTCTAGCCACGGAGTGGAATCTTCACCACTTCTAGACTCTTCCTCACTCCACCCCATTCCATGTGTGGCCTCTCGAGTGAGAGAAGAGAATGAAATTCAGAGGCAATGGAAACTCTGTCCTCTCTTGGGCTCAGTGGGGACCGAGTCCAGTCCTAGGGGTGAGGCCCACGCCCAGGACAGAGCTGCACACACACTGTTCAAGAAAGCTGACAGGTGCAGGCAGAGCCGACTGTGGCTATAAGGATCTGAGTTCCTCAGTGGATGGGAACCCTCCCCCCGGATGACTGGACATCACCACTTGGGAACATGTCACCGAGGAGTAAAAATAGGGACATTGCAAATACCAAAGCAAGAGCGCATTTATTCCAACAAATGCAAATTCAGGTCTTGTCTCCCACGGAGTCCTTGAGGGAGGGCAGCCCACAGATGTGCTCTGCTGGTGAGCCGGTTATGCTGAGTAAATTAACTGCAGACAGGCCCTTGGGGTGAACTGTGCCTGCTCCTCCCAAACCATCTCAGAGTCTGTCCACGGGCAGCTGTGGCTCCGTGTGAACCGCTGGCTGTACGAGCACCATGCCGGTGGTCCACACACCTGCAGCCACAGATATGCTACCACCTGAGGGCTTCTGTCACGCATTCTGTCTGTCCTGCAGATGGTTTTGGGGTTGGTGTTTAGTGGCTCGAGGGTCATCTTAAAAAGCACTGGGCCATTGACGCAACACAGGCACCAAGCAGTCAGAATGTGCTCTGGACACTCTAAGCCACCCAGTCATTCCATTGGGTACTGGCCGGGGCCGAGCGCAGCTCGCGCCACAATGCCTGCCTCCCAGCGTCTAATTGTTCTTCAGCTGCAAGATGACCTGATAAACTTTGATGGGGTGTTTGAGAAGCCCCTGGGCTTTCGTGGCCAACAGACCCATGGAGACCTGTGGGTTGGAATCATGCCTTTGACCGGTGTTACTTGAACTGTCTGCATTTTGGTTTCTGCAAGTGTAAGTTGGGAATCATGACACCCATCTCACTGGTTATGGGAATCTATGAAATGATAGGTGTGGAGCACACAGCTGTCCCTGTCCCCTTCACTCCCTGAAGTTACTGGAATGTGCCCTTTCCTTCTCATCTCCATAAATCTCTGCCTCATCTATCTGTACTCCTCTGCCTCCCTTCTGCTCTTTTCTGCCGGTTCTGGATTATTTTTCTTTTGTCCCCTTTTTATTGTCTCCCCTTACACCCCAAAAACCCTTCTAGGCTTTTCTCTTCTCCTAAGCCCTCATCCCCAGTCCCTTGCCTTTGTCTTCCCTGAAGCTGGACCCAGTGGTGTATGCATGGGCAGGCTTGTATCGCTAGGACATGGCAGTTCCCTTTCCTTCTTCAGGCTGGCATGCAGACAGACTTAGTCCCTGTCATGCCCAGAGGGACACAGGACCGCTCAGCAGGACCCCTCCACCCTGTCTCCCCCTGCCCGCAGGCCAACACTACCTGCACCCACACTCTGCCACGCTCATCCCTTCATAGTGGTACTTGAGGGTGGGGACCCCCATATCATCTTTGTAGAGGATGGAGATGGGGCTCAGTTTGGTGGGCACACAGCAGGCCTTGCCCACTTTCATGGGGAACTTGAGATGTACCAGGGTCTGTACAATGGCATGTTTTGTGGGGGTTACGTCATCAGCCAGGGGGAAGAAGCAGCCGCCTTTACACTCGTACGCATCATATTCCTTGGGTGCAATGATCCAGCTGTCCCAGCCAATATCCTCGAAGTTCACCCTCATGGAGGTCTTCTGACAGTGGTTGTTGACCCCGGCACTCCTCTTCCGTCTGGCTAACGATGACCCTGTGGCCATGTGACCTTCCCCATCCTCATCCTTGTTGTCACCTGCTTCTGCTGGACCATTCTTGGACAACTTCTTGAGCACACTCTCCTGCTCATGGCCGATCATCTCCCTGAGCTCCAGCCTGGTCTCTTTGGTCCCATTGCTGCGGTCATTGGAGAAGACGACTAAGAAGGGCAGGTTTTTGGAGCCTGGGGGAACGCTGATATCCAGCTGGTCACAGCCCTTCCTGTGACTCTCCACAGTCACTTCCAGTTTATTTTTGCTCTTGGTGGAGTCGGCTCTGACCCACCGCTTCACAGCACTGGAGACCTCAAAGGTCTCCCAGCCCTCGTCTTGAATGTCCTGGGACACCAGGAATGTCTTCGTTCCTGTAGAAGCATCCCAGGCATCTGCTCCATCCAGAACGTCATATATGGCCATGTTGCCTTTCAGCTCACGAGGAGAGGCTCCGTGATTTTGACAGGAGATATAGAGTCGGAGCTCGGCCCTGGTGATCTGCTCATGCCTGGGAATGGAGATGTTGAAGAGCAAGATGTGCTTCTGGAAGGGAAAGTCTTCCGTGGCCATGATGGAGACAGCATCTGAAATGCAAGTACGCAGTCAGTGATGGTCCTCTTTCATTACACCAAAACAGACTCATGGCTTGTGTCAAAGGGCACCCAGGATGACATGGGCTGATTCTATCAAATCTTTATTGGGTTTCACTTAAGCCCTTAATGTAGAAAAGAATTTTCAAAGGTACATTTAGGATCTTCCAAAGAAAAACAGAGGAATGAGAGCCTTGCATTGGAGTTCACGGGTCCAGCTCTTTAGTGAGCATCTACTCAGTGCCCAGCCTTGCACTACGAGCTTTGCATTCTGTATTTCACTTTGCTCTTCACACTAACCCTGCAAGGGTAGAATTATTATTCCAGTTTTACAGATGTGGAGACTTGTATTTAGAGTGTTTAACTGCCAAGCACACACATCCTGCAAGCTCTTCACTTAAAAAAAAAAAAAAAAAGAAGCACCAAATAAACAACACAGCAAAGCATACTGTCAGCCTCAGACTGCAGACCCCGAGTGTATGATGTTAAAGGAGACACTCTGGGAGGGGATGGTGAATTTCCAACATCAAAACAATGTTAAAAATCTCAGCATTTAAAAAATATAGAAATCATTCAGCATTGTAATTTCTGAGCAAAGTGAAAGTGGATTTTTTTTAATGTTTGAGGAAAAAATAGAACATATTAGCCTCGACTGCATTGTCATGTTAGGCAAAAACAGGGCTTGCCTTTCAGCTACACAATGGTCTCCATTTCCAACCTCTCTTGTCTGACACACAGCCATCAGGACATCTCTGTGATGCCATGGCTCGGTCACAAACATGAGGTCACAACACGAGGGAAGTCTGTATGCTGCTGTGATATCCAGCAGTGTCTGACAGACCGAGGTGTTAGTCCAGACTCTGCCCTTTCCTAGGCTCGTGACCTTGGAGAAGTCCTGCGTCTCTTTGTGCCTCTGCTTCCTCATCTGTAGAATGGGGTTCATTCTACCTTCCTTCCAAGGTTGGTGCGAGGCTCCCACAAGATGGGACACGGAGCTTACTAACATGATCCCCGCCTCACAGCTGATGCTCAGTCAGTCTTTCTGTGTCCTTCCCAGACCCTCCTCCCCAACATGCATGCCCCCCTCAAAGCATGTGGCTCCGCACCCAATGTGGGTGTGCCATTCCAGCTCCTGCAGAACGTATGTGAATAGTGAATGGGGTCTATAAGCATCAATGCCCTACTGTGCCCTCACCATGGCATGCTTTGAACATGGCTGTGGTGGGGGGCACCTGGGGGGCTCAGTCAGTTAAGTGTCCAACTTGGGCTCAGGTCATGATCTCACGGTATGTGAGTTTGAGCCCCATGTTGGGCTCTGTGCTGACAGCTCAGAGCCTGGAGCTTCCTTCAGATTCTGTGTCTCCCCCAATCTCTGCCCCTCCCATGCTCATTCTCTGTCTCTTAATAATAAAAACCTTTAAAAAATTAAGAAAAAAAAGGAAATGGCAGTGGGAACACATCACGCATCTAGAAAACAAACACCCTCTCTACCTGAGCTATACGTGGACCATCTCTAAAGGGAAGCATAACTGACCTCCACAGGAGTTCTGGCCACAGGCAGAGCTGGGATCCAGTCCGAAAACTTGATTTGGAGACATGGACAATGCTGGGCAGAGGAGGGGATGGTAATTGAGATGGCTCCAAAGGCTGGGGGCTCCCAGATTATGGGATTTGGTGATTAGCTCCAGCCAAAGAAGCTCAGCCTTCTCCTAAAGCACAGGTTACAGACATGTCCCTGGGGCACAGGGAGATGCTGGCAACATCTGGGTGAACTGCAGATCGTATTTTTTAAAAATTAACCCAATATTTTAAAAATCAGACAAGTTCACACAAAATCTGCACTTGTTGTCTTCTTTTGGGCAATCAGAAAATTCGGCCCTGCTGGGCATGCATCGTGACTACCATGTCCCTTAGATGGGGCATGAGCTCTGCAGGCTGGTCGGGTCTGGCCATCGTACTGGGCAAGGCCTGTTAGGGGTCTGCAGGAGTCAAGTCCTGGAGGAGAGAGGCCCCGTGTGCCCGGCTGTTCAGAGAGACAGCAGAGGCAGGAAAAGCCTGAGCTTGGTAGGTGGGTGGGGCCCGTGTCAGAGTCCAGCTGCCAAAGCACTGTGTGACCTGGGCAAGCTCCCTCAGCATCTGCAAGCCTTGACGTCCATGCTCACAAGATCACGTGAATTAGTGGACATAAGCCCTAAGTTGATGTTTGTTATCTTCCAGGCCTATTAAAGCAGGCAAATCATTTTATATTCAGAAAATAAGAAGGTTGTCCTCTGATGTTTCTTTCTCAGAAAAATTGATCAGACTTGTGGATACTTTTTGGCGGGAGAGAAATAGACACTCTTTCCAAGTTAAAAAAGACACCGCTTGGTTGGAAGCTAAATACATTGTCTGTTTCAAAGTAGGAAGGGGGCCATAATGGAAGGAGAAAAAGGGAAGGGGTGGAAGAAAGGGAGCTGGCATTCAGGGGCACCTAATGTGTTAAATGTGGCATCGCACCCAGGGAGGGAGAACTTTCTACGGCAGAGCTGCCCAGTAGGACTTTCTGCAATGATGGACAGGACATGTTTTACAGTCTGCACTGTCCTATAAGGTAGCCGTTAGTCACACATGACCGTTGACCATTGAAGCCAGTGAACTAAGTTATTAATTTTATTTCATTTTGATTTCTTTAAATAGAAACGTAAAGAGCCTCGTATGTCCAGTGGCCACGTACGGGGCAGTGCAGCCCTGACCCCTGAGTCCCCCCGGGGTGCCCTAGCAGAGCCGACTCTACCTTCCACGCTGAAGCTGCGCACGATGTTGGACGCAGGGGTGGTCGACTTGTCGGTGGTGTATCTGTTGTACAGGTCGATCATGTACTGTGGTGGCTCCGCTCGGGTTTTGTCCTGGGAAGGGACCCCGCTCAGGTTGAGGCTGCGCAGGAAATCCACCTTCATGTTCTCCAGAAACATCCTCAGGTCGAAGGTGCCCCCCTCCGGCTCACCTCCCTGCCCCCCTAGCCAGCGATGGGCGTCTCCCCCCGTGGGCGTGTGCCCCTGGCTCTCCAGTGGCTTCCCCTGTGCGGGGCAGGCCAGCAGGGAGAGCACAGGCAGGGCCACCCAGAGCGCCCCGCAGCACATCTTGGGACGGCGCTGTCGCCCTGGACAGGAGACTGCGGGCGGCCGTGGGTGTGTTAGCGGGCGCAGGGAGGAGCCCGGAAGGAGCGGGCCCGCATTTTCCTGCTGTCGGACCGCTCTGCACGGAACCCCGGGGCCAGTTCACAGGCTGTCACCCACAGTCCCCGGAGTGGCCTCTGCGTGCTCTTATCTGGCCCTCGCTTCTGCACTCCCACCTCTTATCTAAGGGAGCTCTCCGTTTAATGAAGGCTCTGTAAACATCTGCCAAACACACACAGACTTATGGGAAGACCATGGCCTGCTGCAGAGAATCTGAACTTCTCTGTGGGGTTATCTCCCCCTAATTAGGATCCTCTCTCATTTCCTCTCTCAGCTCCGTGCAGAGGAATCTCAAGACAGGGTGACCCATGCTCTATCAAAGGGGCCACAGAAACAAAGAATCCAGGAAACAGACAAACCAAAAAGTCCTCCCTCCAAATATGGAAACAATACAAAACTCTCAGAAGGCTTCCACAAGCAAAGTGGTGGGTGGGGTGGGTGGCGATGCAGAGTTACCCAGGGTTAGCGGGAGGCCTGCTCCCTACAAAGCACCTGTGTGCCTGTGTGTGTGTGTGGAGAGCCCGGTGCCCCCAGTCTTATCTATCAAGTGAGTCCTGAACATTAGGGATCAGGGAGGAATGCAGCACCTGTGATTTAGTGAGGTGATGGAGGCTTTGGACCTCCGAGAGGAAGGTTCAAATCCTGGCTCCCTTGTATACCCTCACTAGAGTCACGTCACCTCTATGAGCCTGGGGTTCAGGAAAGAGTTGTGAGCAATATAAGATGATCATGTGCTAGACATGGCAGTCACCACAAACCCTGTCAGTTGGGTGGCCCCCATTCTGGCTGCTACTTCCCTGCGCATTCCCAGCCTGCTCTCCAGGGACACCACACCCACCCTGAGACCTGCAGCCCAAGCCCTGGAAGAGCTCTGTCCCTGGACTTGTGTGGGGGGGGGGAGGGTGGGGGGGGGCTTGCTCATGTCAGCCGGGCCACACTCGTCAGCCAAGAGAAGTGTGCAGTCTGAGGAGGGAGGGGAGGCAGGGAAGCCTTGAGACTAGCACATGCCCCGAGGTGTCCCCCTGGTCCCAGGAGGCCAAGGTCCCAGGGTCTGTATGCAAGAGCCCACGTGTAGACTCTTCATTTCCATTATGTGTGGGATTGACCGAGGTGAAAGATGGGGATAGTAAACATTCTCTGTGTTGGGGGTATCTATCCTGAGGGGGATTTGAATGAACATGAAGTTTCTCCATGCTGGCAGGACTCCTGGGGAGAGGTAGCACTGAGCTCAGTAGCTTCAGGAAGATGTAGGAGGGGCCCAGGCAGCCCACAGGGGGAGGTCAGAGATCCCAGTGCTCACCCAGCGTTCTTCCCACCACTAGTGGGGGCAGGGTGAAACCAGGAGCCTCAGAGTTGCTGGGCCTGGACAGAACTTGCTGTCCCCATCTTCTGGGGACACTGTCAAGGGAGGGTGGACGGGAAGGGGTGCAGCTTCAGAAGTGCTGCTTGGAGAGGGGGCAGGAAGCACGCTGGGCGTTGAGCCAGCTCAGAGCAAGAACTCCCTGGGGCGGGGAAAGGATGACGGGGTGCGGAGTCTGGAAATGGAGCAGCAGCAGGCAGCAAAGAGGGCCTGGGAGGAGCTGGGGAGCCAGGCTAGCGTCCCCCATGGTGCTCCAGTTCTTGGAAGTAGCCCAGAATCAGGTTGCATTCAGGAGGCGGAGGCAAGGGACACATGGGTATGGCCCGAATATGGGTCAGGGGAGCGTAAGGGGCTGCTACCTGATGTTTTCTTAAAAGCGTGGTAGGTTTTGTTTTCTGATTATCACAGTAGCACATAATGCAGATAATTGGGGGAATGCAAAACATGAAGAAGGAAATAAAAATAACCAACCGTCTCACCGACCAGCGATGCCCACAGTTACTATTTTGCAATAGAGCATATGCAGCTCCACAATCCTCTACCTACAACCCTTTTGGCCAGGAGTGTTTTGAGATCCTGAAATTTTCAGATTTTGGAAGTTCTGCATAGCACACATACTGTAATATCCCGATGCGGTTGGGGATAATACCTTATAACCAAATACCTTAACATTTCTGCAGTGACACAAATAGAAACACAAATATCCATTCAGATCAAGTTTTGCCATGAAAGGAGTTAAAAGGAACTGCAGGTTTTCTGATAGTTTTGGATTTGGGATCTCAAATAAAGGACTCTGGACCTGTTTACACATGGGGTCACCATACCTGTCCATGGAGGCTGCACATGAGGCCTGCCCAGAGGTGCTGGTCGCACAGACCGTAATGTGGATGGTGCCCCTAGAGCGGTGCAAAGCAACATGGCTGTGTATTTCTGGAATTCTCTGCCCAACAGACTCAGGGTATCAATATATCCACATGCCCTTTGTTGTTTTTAACTTATTCTATCAGGTCTCCTGATCCATATTATCAGGAAGTCTGATCTATTGCCTACATTGTCCAAGTACCTATAGGTTTATTTAGTTCAAAGGAGATGGAAGTGGATGGTATCAGTCCAGCCTCTTAATGCCAGAAGTAACGAGGGAGAAAGGGGTCTTAGCAGGTCCCACCTGTTGTGGCTTTTCAACGACACCTGGTTTTGCAGTTGGGGATGGGTCACATGCATCTAAGAGCTGCCTGAGCACAGCTGCTGGGATGCCCTGACTGGCTCAAGTTTCTTCCCAGATCTCTGTGGTGTTCTCCTTTAGGCACCAAGAAAACAGATTTCTCAGGCACACTCCCAGGCTTACCATTCTGCAGAGGGCAGTGGCTGGGGCGAGAGAAGAAGCCAACCATGGCCACCTTCTGATCCCATTCTGCTGTCACACAAATCTCAAGGTTCTTGTACGGAGCCTGGGTCATGAGCTATGACTCCCAGGTTCCTCAAGGTGGTGTGATTCCAGAGACATTGTTACTTTTTTGTACAAATAAGCTTTGGTCCAGCTTGACCGATCCCCTTATCTCTGTGTCTTAGGGAACAAAGTTTAGATCTCATTCTGTCTTTCCCAACAGTTGCAGGGATCCTCATGCAAAAGGACCCCCTCTCTCCCTCTCCTACCACCAGTTCTCCATTGCCAGGCCTCAGGCTGTCTTAACTGAGCCACAAAAGGTCTTATTCACCCTCCTTCCCCCAGCTCTCCCCTCCTGCAAATAGAGTACCATATGGCCCAGCAATCCCACTTCTGTGTGTATACCCAGAAGAATTGAAAGCAAGGTCTCGAAGAGATATCTGTACACCCATGTTCATTCATAGCAGCACAATAGCCAAAAGGGTTGAAGCAGTCCTAGAGTCCACCGGTGGACGAATGGATCAACAAAATGTGGTACACGCATACGATGGGATATTCTTCAGCCTTAAAAAGGAAGGAAATTCTGGCACATGCCACAATGTGGATGAAACTTTAAGACATGCCAAATGAAGAAAGCCAGTCACAAAAAGGCAAATATTGCATGATCGCACTTATAACCAAATGTATACAGACACAGAAAGGAGCATGGTTTAAATCCAAACAGGTTTAAACCAAATGGATTATGGGTAACTGATGAAAGCTGCAAAGTCCAGGGAAGGTTTGGCTTTAGCACAGCCTGGTCTAGAGTCTAGGCAAAGCTGTAATAATTTTTATCTCCACTCTCAGAGCTGCCTTCCACTGTGTAGTCATCACCCTCCGCCTCTCTGTTTTGGCAAGAGGACAGCAGCAGGTCTGCATCCTGGGAAGGAGGAAGAAAGGAGGGGAGGGGAGAAAAAGCCTTTTCTTCAGGAAGTCCTGGTTAGTCTCATGGTGTCTTCTTGGTCCTGATTGGGTCATCTGCCCATGCCCTAGCCAATCACTGTAAACCAGGGGAATGTGATGCCCTGATTGGCTTAGGTGAGGGTGAGGCCACTGGCAGAAAGGAATGAAAAGCAGATTGAGATGATTCCCCCAGAGGGGTCTAGATCTGGTCACCAGAAGCCACTACTAAAGGATGGCACAGGTATCTTTCCATGCCATGAACATTTTTCAAGAATTCATTATTTAAAAATGTCTATTTATTTATTTTGAGCGGTGGGGGAGGGGCAGAGAGAGAATCCCAGGTAGACTCCTCGCTGTCAGTCCCACCAACCATGAAATCATGACCTGAGCTGAAATCAACAGTCGGACCCTTACCTCACTGAGCCACCCAGGCACCCCCATATGCTTCATATTTAATGACTGAACAATATTCAATGGTATGGATATATCCTAATGTATCCAACATTCTCCAACTGTAGGACAACTGGGCTATTTAGAATGATAACATTGCAAGGCACATTGTTATAGTCTATATCTTACATGATTTTCTTCAAACGGTTCATCAGAGGACGGATGTCTAAATCAAAGTGTATGCAAATATCTTCAAAGCTCTTGGTAAACATTGCAAGTTGCTTTCCAGAAATGTTCTTTTAATATTCACTGGCATTAGCAGAGCCTAAGAGTACCTGTCTTACCATCTCTAGTCATTCGATGAACAAAAAAAAATGTTAATTTGCTTTGCCAGCTGAGCTGGATTATATTTTCCCCATGTTCTGATGAACCACCCGGCAGGGTCTGGACTTTAGCCTTCTGGAAGGTATAGGGTTAGCTGACTCTTACCCACACGTGGTCCGGGGCCATGCTCAGGAATCCTACTTGGTACCATCTTGTGGGTCCAGGGAGAGGGCTGGGGGGATGCGCCGATGCCTACGTGCTCCCCAGGAACACTGAGCACCTTTAGCACAGAGCCAGGAACATGGCAAGTGCTCTACAAATACTCATTATTGCTCTTGTCTGTACAAGGTCTGATCTTTCTATTGCTGCTTCTATTACCCCTGGAGCAGCTCTGCCCCAGCCTTTTGCAGAGCCTCTGCTTTAGATGTGCTTCCGGTTCAGAATGCCTCATACTCTCCCTCACTGCCCTCCACCGGGGACCAGTCCCTGCTGCCTTTCAGTGCC